TCCTATGAAAATGAAGGCTGTAAAGGGTCATATTAAAATGCGTTCGCTAAAATTAGTTTGGAGATCTAACGGGACCGATACCGCAGATATCTTCATCTGCGCATCTGAAATGGATGTTTTTATTTCCCCCTACGCACAGCAGATTAAGTGCTCATTTACTATGCCATTGAATTTCTATTCGTACTGCTCTGAATAAGGTTACGGTGGGCCGTGGGGAGAATTCCGATTGAATGGACAGCCACTCGCTATTTGACAAAAAGTTTCTCCTCTAAATTGTTACGACTCGCTTAAAATGGCCCTCAAGCGCTAGTTTTAGCACTTTGACTGTGTGCAGTAACTTCAGTTGCTGAGTCAGAGAAGAACATGCTAGGTCTCCATGGTAATGCAGAGAAAAACGTGGCCTCCAAAGCCAAAACTGCCATTCGAACGAGCGCAATTTTCAAAGAGCAGTAATTTTAATTACAGCTTATATCATCAACAGATATTTTAGATGGGGAAATTGAACCCAATGACATGGAGCCTGTAGATAAGTTAGATCAGTGCCTGCATGAAGTGTACATAGCAATGGAGCAACAAGTAAATGAGTGTCTAGTATACTATGTTTAGCGTCCAAGCCTCAAGCCAAAAATGTTAATATGCTTGTCATCTTGGCCAAAGAAAAAGAGCCTGGACTTTAATTTACAGAAAATAATCACAATTTAAATTGCACACGCTAAGCCAGAGAAAAATGTGCTAGGCCCACATAAGCCTATGACAGAGAACATGCTAGGTCTCCATGGCCTAAGACAGAGAACTTGCTAGGTCTCCATGGCCTAGGACAGAGAACTTGCTAGGTCTCCATGGCCTAAGACAGAGAACATGCTTGGTCTCCATGGCCTAGGACAGAGCACATGCTAGGTCTCCATGGCCTAAGACAGAGAACATGCTAAGCCAGAGAAAAACACGCTAAGTCTGCCTCTTTTAGCCCTACAAGTTAAGACTGGGAGTAACAGAAAGATGACTAAGCCAGTGGGGGAAGCCCTTCATGTGCCTACTAGGAGTCAGCCTGCACAATCCAGCTGCCCTAACAAGGCTTATAAGCGAGTTAATGTGGTGCGAATTGTGAGCAGCTTTAACGGCAAGGCCGTAAGGACTTGCACGATCAAGAGACACGGGTGACTGCACGTAATCTCTATAATCTGTGTACAAATGATGGATAAGTATTAAACGAAACGACGCGCACTCTGAGCACAGAGCTTCACTCGTCTTCAATTTATCTCCTTCTTCCAATGCTCGAGGAACAAAACCTGATGAGGTGCAAAAGCGTTAATCCTTTTACAACCTAGCCCGCATGCTGCCATGCTAATCTTTGTATTGAATGCATCACGATAAGGGATGACAAAATGACACTTGAAGGGCTTACTTAACAGCAGCTGGGGTCTAAGTGCTTCTTGGTAGAACCAGTTGAAGCTGTAAAGATGCTACCACGTCAGTCCCCCGAATACACTCTCTGCATCTAGTCGATATAAAAAAACCCAGCCGCGTTTCTATAGAGACACAAAACCTCTGACCCAATGAATAACCCTCTGAGCCAGTGAATGAACGCTATGGATGAAAATGCTGTACGACTGAGAAAGAGAGAGACACTAAAAGCCACACAGAAAAGTGCTGGCCTCAGATCCAGGTGTTAGCAAGATGGCAAGCTAAGGGCATGCTTGTTTCACTAAGGTGTAATTTATATGACAGGCAAGGGAGGGCTAACGCACTTCAGAGGTACTGACCGGCTCTTCTCTGTTAGCATGGTCACTTCCCTAGGGAGAACTAATGAGGTGTGTGCGTGTTTTGTCAGGAACAGAGATTTAAAACCGGACGCTGGTGTTATTTGTGTCATCAATCGATTAACTGATTCCCTCAGCGCTCCTATCTTATAAGTGGCACCAGCGTGTACAGTATTCACCAGGCATTTTAACAACCATTCAGAAGTTTCAGAGGAAAATAATTCAGTTTGAGTTTAAGCATGAAGTTTAACACGTTCTCAAATGCCCATTATTATGGGTGTTTACAGGTTCAGTATTTGCTTGGCTGGATGGTTCCTTGAAGACATGGCTGACATGAGGATAAGAATGAGGGGAGTAAAACAAAACAAAAGGCTGTGATGATTAAAGAAATAGTTTAGTGAAAAATCCCCTGACCAATCACAAGGCTGAGGTCTCTATTGCCCGTTCTTTTATCCATACACAAACATTGTTTATTCATCTGTTCTATCATTCATGCATTGCTTTGTCTGTCCAATTGTTCGTTTATCCCTGTGTCTTTATGTCCAGTCCTCCGCACATTGCTTTGTCTGTCCGTTCATCCGTCTGCACATCTGTTGGTCCATGACTTTTTCATCCAGTTACTGTCACATAAAATTCGGATAATGATTTCAGGTCTGTATGAGGAGCAGAGCAGGCTAGGAGTGTTGGACAGAGAGCTGTCAATCAAACTGTTCATTAGCCACGCCCACACAGTTGTCAGCAGTTTTTAAGCTGTGTTTTATCATATTCGTATCTTATATTTTTTATTCAAGCCTTGCTGGATGTTTAATATAACACTCAAGTTTAGCAGCACACAAACTTTTGCAGTATTTTACTCTGTGTTCCCTGGGATTTTAAAGCTTTGATGCTAAAGTGGCTAAAAAGCAATGGTAGCTCATTGGGGCTAATTAACATTAGCATTAGTGCAAACCGCTAAATCATCTTGTCTCCAACTGCGTCCAATTGTTAAGTAATTTGTAATAACCAAATTGACTTACTGTTAGACAAATGAACACAAGTAGTAGCAGCCATCCTATAGCCTGTACTTTTGTTTATGGATAATAATAAAAGTTCAGCTGTGTGAGTCTGAGATTGTCTTGGGAGTAATTTGCCCTGAACTATAGGGAGATTACTTTTCTTTTCCTGTGGTAATTCAAAGAGGCCTCTTTTAGCAATGGCTGATTAGGGGTAAAAAATCGACCAGAAGCAGAGGACAAACACCTACTCACACGATTTAATCCATCACGTTATTAATTAATGAATAAATGGTGGTTTTGAGTGCAAAAGCAATTCAGAACACTGTGCAGTGGAGTATATTGAATGGTACAGTATAGATATGAGCGCAGTCTACAGTGTTTGCCACTGGAATGTGTGCTTTCAAATTAGCTACATAGAGTATTTTCATGGCTCATGGTCAGCATTCAATAACTTTAGAGAGTTCGAATAGTCTCTGTGCAGCAAATTGCCTCTAAAGCTTTCCATTGAGAAAACTGATTTTTCTCATACACCACCTGAATGATGTTGAGAAGAGCACGAGTGCGATCATTTTCTCTAAATGTCTCCATCGACGAGAGGCGGCTGATATATTGTAGTTCCGCGAACCCAATAAAAGAGAGATGAGCCAATTCCCTGCAGTTTGGAGCCCGAGCCCAGCTTCCGCCGGATTCATTATGCATACGGAGCATCATAAGTCAAAACTGCCTTTCCCTGCCCTAAGCACTCTCAGATGTGCGATAATATTATGGTGCTGTCTGGAAGCTCCAGCTTCATCCTGATATTGGAGGAAATGAGTGTGGATTTTGGCACACCTGTCCCCACGCTGCTCCAGTACTATCATACAATTAAACAGCGCAGTCTTTGACAGGCATGAAATGAGGAACAAGTGTTTCCCAATCCACTGCCATGTTTTGCACCATTTACTTCTTTGTGACATGTGTGTAAGTGCCTGATAGGAGGGTGATGTGTAATTACTATGACATGGAGGGAGAAATATGCTAAGTAGGCTAAGTTTGCCCCCCCACCATGCTGCGCTCCTCTTTCCTCTTCGGCCTGTTTCCCGGCTTGTTTTCACAGCATAAATCCCGTCCCCTTTAATCTCCTTACTCAGCTCCATCCTCTTTTAAAAAAACCCATGAGCGTAGAGACAAGGGCGCATCGATTCGAGAGCACGGCGGCCAGAAGGAAAGACCAAACCGTGCGTGTGCTCTCGCTAACCGCTAACAAATTGGCCACCCGATAGAAACAAGACATAACAAATAAGGAAAGAAGACACAACAAACATCAGGATGTTCTCCTGAAGCAGGGGGTTTTTTAGGATGTAGATCTTCTTGGACCACCATAAAACCTTATTAAAAATAGAGCAGTACCAATCATTTTCATCAAAATCATGCTTATTTTATCCAGCTGTAGAGTCTACAAGCAATATCTCCACATATCAGAAACATACAGATATAAAACTACAGAGAAATCGAAAGGCATGCACATTTTGACCTACAGTACTCTCTCAATATTGGGTCATGAAAAAATACAACTACAGAGCAATGCACATGGAACTCAAAGTCAATATAAATGACTAATCTAATGATATTTATGCATATCTACTATGGAGATATACAACTAGCAATCTCTATCATGTTCACAGGACCATGCACATTTAAATCTATTGAAATCTACTAATATTTATGCATGTCTTTACTGTGGAGATATAAAACTAGCTCCATCTTCATAAAGGCGTGCACGGTTTAACCTATAGGACCTGGAAACAATATCTCTGCATACCAGAACCATGGAGAAGTAAAACGACACAGCAACCCTCATTACCTTCATCAAAAAGCATGCACAGTTCAACCTCCAGTCCTCTGCTAATAACATCTATGCGTATTAGTAATGTGGAAGCAATTATGAAAACTGCCGTTAATAATCACTCACACTTTAAGAGGAGTATAACTTGTATTTGTCTCTGTCTCGGAATTTCACAGCTAGTTCATCAGAATGAGTAACATGTAATGTAACCCTTTCCTCTGTGAGTGTTTAAATCTATGTCACTTGCCGAGTTATTTAGGACAAAAATAGCCCGGTTCCACAAACATGCAGGGAACACAGTCTCCAAGGTGTCTCAATCTTCCACGTTTCAACAAACCAGACTATTATGAGCAATTTTAGAATGTTTAATGATGCTCGAGACAGAGCTCCACAGTAGTGAAGTTACAATTGTGGTGTCCGTACCTGTCTCCCAGAAGTAGAGTGACTTGCTGTCCCCTGAGGTTTGAGCGCGAACAGTGTGGATTCCACAGCACACTAACACTAGTCTCCACACTAGGCTCGGGACGCTCTCTCCCCACGCTGTCCTTGCGCCCCTCTCCCCCAGCCCCATGACTCTCGGAGCCGCTGAAATCCAGACAGTTCCTGAGAAGAGAGCAAGCCTGGCAAGAAAAAAAAGACAGAGGTCCCGCACGAGGATGGAGAGAGGGTCAGTATGTCCTGTAGAAGAACAGAAGGTTATCAGTAGTTCCAACTGTCCTGTGACCTCCTGCCCAGCTTCGGTTGCTGCTGCTGTGAGTGGACAGAGCACTGTCCAGTCGGACAATGGACGAGCAGTGGAGCACCGTTTAAACTGCTACTGCCGCCGCTGTCCTCTGACTACTGCAGCTAAACTGATGCAGCACCTCCTCGCTCTCTCTCTCACCTTCTCTCTATATCCCTCGCCCGCTCTCTCAGCCTCCCTCCTCCGAGCTCTCTCTCTCTCACTCTATCTCTCGCTCGCTCTCTCAGCTTCCCTCCCTCTCCCTTTCTCACTCTCACTCTCTCACCCACCCTCCTCTTCTCTTTTTCACTATTTCACAGCCTCTCTCAGCCTCTCTCTTGTCCCTTCCTCTCCCCCCCCCTCTATCCCTTTCTCTTTTCTCTCTCAGCCTCTTGCTCACTTTCCTTCCCTCTCTCACTCACTCTTACTCTCTCTCTCTGGGGCTCTGAGGACGTTCTCTCACTCCAGGCTCCTGTGACGCTGGAGGAGACGAGATCAGAGCAAAGCTTCCACTGTCGCTACAGGGGGGAGAGAGAGAGGGAGTGAGAGAGAGAGTATAAATTGTATCTACAATGGAGGTGGAAAGCTTCTTTTTTGAGTGCAGTGGATTAATGTAAAAAGCAAAAGTCTCAAATATGTGATTAGCAGAGGCTAAAATGACACTTGAACGCAACCACTGCAATCAGAAAACAGCTGTAGGTTACATTACGGTGCTGTACAGTGAGAAAAATCTGCGGTGCCATTTTAGAATATGCCTCAATTTGCACTTAGAAATCAAGGTTTCAAAGCAGAGAGGCAGAGAAAAGACAATAAGGTGAGAAATAGATGCTTATCTATTCAGTTCTCATTCTGCGCATCATATCCTTTGGTGTATGCATCAGCAAACGCATAACAGAAAAAGAAAAGGCCTCAAAAAAAAGCACTTTATTCACACCGGAGCTTCAATAAAAAGCACTTTATTCATACCGGAGCTTCAATATGTCAACAGTCAATCACAGCGCAGGCTGCAATATCTTTTCGGCAGAGCCGGTCACTCCGGGTCCTGATGACTTAATCCACTTTCCTAAGGTCAGCAACTCGCGAGGTTCTGCACACAGGCCGCTAATAAGACTTTGCGTGGGAACATGTTTAAATGTCAGAGCGAAGGCAGAAGCTCCAGCACTGCCTGCGCTCCGCAGGTTTGATAAGCATTAGATTGGGCTGACAGATGGATTTAGCTGGTGATTGATGAACAAAAGGGGGTCTATAAGCGGAATTCGAATCAGACGGCCCACCTGGCAGCAGTGCGCTAAGAGACAGGTGTGCTAGCTCATGCTAAATGACACTAGCGGTTGAATCTATAGCATGTGGTTGGCTTTGTCTGATAGCAATATAAAAATTGAGGCTATGAGTGAGTGAAGCAAGGATAACAATACTGCAGCCTTTAGGATCAGATTTAGCCAGCTATGATAGAGATTAAGGCAGAAATGCTTCACATTTATCAAGGTGACTTATTTGCGAATTGACTTTCAGTGTGGTCACCTTGGTGATTGGACACTGACGAATTTTTTGACCAATCACAGGCTTCCTAAAGCCACAGTCATGCTAGCTTTATGACAGTGAAATGTTCATTTAAAAGGAAATTGGAGTTCAAATCTGGGAACTGTGACACATTAATTCGCATCGAGATGTTCCTACATAGCGAAGTAGCTATAGCTAGCTAGTTTTAGTAAAGGTTTTATCGCAGCAGAATGAGTAAAGCTATTTTATGTACTGGAATTTACAGAATCCTAACAGGTTTCTAAAAATGAAGAGCATCTCACACTGAACGTCAGTGTTTTACAGACGAAGGAAAGAGAGTGTATCATACACATAACAAGTTTCAGATACTCTATATTAAAAAAAGTCACTGTTATCATGTGACCCAAGGCTAAAACTGGACCAGGCTTGTTTGTGCTTTTATGCTTATGCAAGATCCATACAAAAAAACACAAACTGTGAATGATGTGTTTGGGAAATGCGACTGTCATTCTATTCTGTGAAAACTGGAGAAGCATTTTACTACAAACTGGCAAGCTGACGTGAAATTAGATTGTGAAACTGCCTTTTTTCTCTTATTGGCTATGACTAAAATCACTCGTTCAGTTACATCGCTGACCTCATCTTACAGGACACGGGAGCATAACAGGCCTCTGATCACTCTTAGTCACTTTCAATTGCCAAAAAAAAATGTCAGAAGGGGCAAATTGGGGTTAAAGTCATGCCAAAAATTGTCTCTGTCTTAAATAAGACAGTGATTGAGTAAGACGTCTATCATTGTCCTACCACCAGTGGTCTATTTATTGATCCATCTACCCATTAGTGATGCACTGAAACAAAAATCCTTGGCCGAAAACCAAAATTCAGCCCACAGTGGGCCGAAAAAGTAAACGAAAATCGAGAAAAGCTGAGAAAAAACAGTTTACATAAATTAAATGTACTAAAATGATTACGGTATGTAGGCTACAGTATGTGTCATGAAATCCAATGTTCTCAACAACAGAGAATGGTTGGTCATTCCAAGGCAGTGAACATTAATTTTTGGTTATACTTTGCACTTTGGCGCTTTCGTTTTTAGATTTATTTCATAATTTCATAACCCGAGGCTAGAAATAGCACAGGTGTGCTAGAGAAGACTTTCTGCTCCTGCTTTGCTTTATTCTGCATATAGACAGGTATGTCACATTTTTCAACAGTGGTGAACTGTGACAATTAGAGTGAGAGAGTTAGAATTAGAGACCCACCTTTATGATAATGCAAACATGTGCTAGCATCCCTGTGGGACTCTAGTGCTAAGCTAACAACAATTTGCGTAGACATTCGCAGAGGTATCTCTATATAGAGCTATCTAGGACATCCAGAAGGCTACAGTGACCTTTTTTTCTCACTAAATTACTCCCCCCTATTGGAAATTAGAACATGATTGGTTGATTCCTCAGTTATGTAGTTATGCTGCTAGTTAATCTAACACATTAGGCCTTCTCTTCAGTTCTTAAAGTCCTAACCAATAGCAGGGCTTACCTAGCTATGTCTACCTAGATGCCGTGAAGAAAAGTGATTCCTGATTGGCTAATTTAATTTCTTCTCAGCATTTCAGGAATTTTACTCTTTTGTTTCCATCCAAAATTTAAGAAGGTAATAATGTAATATTTGCAGAGTTTAAATACAGACATGATTCCACTGAATAAAAATTACAAAAACTAAAATGACAGTTGTTGTTTATTTAGTGGCGATGGTGTGTAGATGTTGTGAAGAAAAACTCCGCCGACACTGAGTTGCTAGCAAAAGATTTATTACATAGTAAAACAGCATCATATCAAGCACTATAAAGCACCTGGGAGAGGATCCGTGCCAATTCTAAATGTCCCCCCCCGAACAGAATGACCAACAGCATATATATATGGTTCTTGTTGTTGAAACAGGAGACAGAGCATATGGTTCTTTTTAAAATGATCTCATCTATTTGGACCTAAGAGAAGAAGGGAGAAAGTAAGAGGCCCTCTCCCAATGGACCAATTCACATTCCTAGCCCCTGCACAAACAGAGCACACAGGGAACTCCTAGATACTTGGAACTTCAGACATCAGCTTATACTCAATGTTAAGAGTGTTATTACCTTCTTCTATAAAAAGGTTCCTTTCAAAATACACTTCACAGTATTTTTTTTTAGCTCCAATGAATCATTAGGCCTTCTCTGAAGGCCAAGAAGACCCCGAGGGTTTCCCTGTGTTTCAAGCAGTATCAAACTTATAACGGAGATGCTTGTGGGCACTGAACCCCCCTCTTGATACTCAGCATAAACAGTGATTACAAATTGCTTGTCTAAAGTCCCACATAAAACAATGAAATAGTTCCATATGGCCGAAACTTTCACTCCACTGCAGCTCAAACTGCTTGAACACGTCACTATTTTTCATTTTCTTTGCCATTAAAATTATTTGCCTCTGACATTACGCTGTAGACCTATGTGCCATTTTTGGCCAAATTTTTAAGTGGTCAGAATTTCACTACTATCTCTCTAGTTGTGCTCATGTGGTCAGCACTTTGCATATCCAACCCCTGAGACAATCCTTTGTGTTCCCCGACTGCAGAGGCTGCGAGAACTCAATTTTCAGAGCATTTTTTTATTTCTGACATGTACCAGCTCAGCCGCCTTGGAGACATAAGGCACAGCAGCAGGCCCTGTATTTACAGTAGTGCGCCTCAGACGTATAAAAGATTAATCAGAGATCTCATTCATCAAAAAATGGCTGCGGGGGGAACAGTGGAGGGCAGCAATGTGGCTTTATGAATGGTGTTTTGGTGGGGCGAGGGTGAGTGTGATGTGGCTTGTCTGGGCCTGCGGGGAGTCTCTCTCTCTCACTGTCTTTCTTTCGCTCCGTTAAGCAGACACGCTACAAGACCGTAGTCTGCCCTCACCAGGCGCACACTCGGGTAGAGCTTGACCCGGTCAGTGCACACATACAAGCTGCCCCACAACTTCACCAATGTAGATTTAAACGAGATGTTCAGAGACAATTGTAATTTAGTATTTGAATGTACACAAATACCAAATAAATATACTTGCTTGTGTGGTTTCTGATACTGACACACTGTCATCTATACCAATGGAAAATACCAACTATACCTACTATTTTAGCTATGCGATCTATTTTTGTCCATTTTGACAGATCACAGAATGTCAAAAAGTCTCAGAAACCACATAAGCAAGTTATTTGAGATCAGTTAAAGTGGAAATTCTACCAGTTTGTCAACATTTCTTGAGATGTGAAGAAATTCATTGAGAGTGGGTTGATGTGAGATGTTTTATTGTATTTACCAACTCAGATTTCTTTACACTGGTAGTGACAGGAACCAGGGGTTGCAATGTGGATGCAAATTTGTTTATGCCATTTAATTACAACCCGAAATGATCAGGGAACCTAAACGTACCTTCTGAGTTTTTATACATAATTTTGCTTATGATGAAATGGTAGTAAATTTGAAAGAAAAGTTTCTTTGGGTACTAATTCACCTTATAATGCCTTCTAAGTACCCCTCCACTACCAAATAATTTAAAAATAAATGAATAACTTATCTGAAAACCATCGTAAAACAATGTTTCAGGCATCAAACAGGACCATATTGTATAATAACCTTCTGTGAAGTAG